TTCGAGCCCTGCATCAGGCTCTGTGCTGACCGCTCAGAGCCTGAAGCCTGCTTCGGATTCTGTGTTTCCCTCTCTCTCTCTGCCCCTCCTCCTCTCACGTTCTGTCTCTGTCTCTCAAAATGAAATAAACATTAAAAAAAAAAAGAGCATCCCTAGTGATTTTGATATAGGTAGTTTCCGGTCTGTCCTTTGGGGGAGCAAAACAAATTCTGCTAGAAAATGTTTAACTCTTGTTTGTCATGATGCCTATATCCCAGATGATGCTGTAAGTATAATTAGGGTGCCTCCAAATATACTTATGGTGCCTGTAAATGAGGGTGTCAGAGTTGCAGGTAGATGATTCCCCGAGCCTTATAACTGAGGAAAGCATCCAAATTCACGTCAGACACTTTTGTCCATAAAATAGAATTATTTAGAAAACTTTTAATGGTACATTTTATTTGCATGGTGCCATCAGAGACAAATCATATGGTAAGTGTTAAAAGAAATATGCCATTGAGGTTGAGTCATTTACTGGCTTGATTGCTCGCAGCCCTGAAGAACTGTGAGTATCCTTCCTGCCCTGATGGCTATGGCCCCCTGGGGCTGGCTGGGGTTCTTGGTGTCAACAGCCCTCTGGGTGCAGAGGCTTGGGTCCTGTTGCTTGACTCCCTGCCATGTGCTCTGTCCTACAGGCCGTCGGTGAGCCGCCCCTCTTCCTAGCAGCCTCCATCTTCTTCGCCATCCAGGATGCCATCCATGCAGCTCGAGCTGGGAACACGGATTATAAGATGAAGAAGCATTTCCGGCTAGACAGCCCTGCCACCCCAGAGAAGATCCGCAATGCCTGTGTGGACAAGTTCACCACGCTGGTATGAGGCCCTTGGATGCCCACTCAGTAGTGGGGGGGGGGGGTACAGAAGGAGAGTGGGGTGCTAGGTTCTCTTTCCGCTGGGCAGCCTTGGGTCCATGCTACCTTCATTATGTTGTTGAGGCACTCCCTTGAACTTGCTGGAAAACAGCAAAAATTGAAGTTTGTTAGCTGAGCTTCCTTAGAGGAAAGAGCTCCCTTTGGTGTACAGCTATCACTCACAGATTTAAGTTTTTTTTTCCTTGAAGATGAGGGTTATGGGTAAAAGTCCAGAAGAGCCTCGTCTTTTAGTGTCCATCACTGGCACTTTGGAGACCCTTCTTCGTGAAAGCCACTGTGTGAGTGCTGTGGAGACGGAGATGAAAAGGAGGGTTAGTGAATGAATTAGCTGCACCACGTTTGTTCTGTGATTGCCACGTGCCATGCTGATACTGGCACACATGGATGCCCATGAAAACTTTGCAGTCTTTTAGGAAACCAGCTAATTGTATTATGTGGTGACTGGTTACTCCCTTAGCGTATGTAGCAGCATGTAGCAGGAATTCTGTGGTCATTGGACCATGGGAAGTGTCTCTGTGATACCTGTAGTGGACAATGTCTGGCCAAAGAAGACCATGCAGGGACATTGCTTCCACTGTCACCTCTGAGCTGTGCCGAAGCAGGCTCAGCACACATAGGATTCCAACTGCCTTTGCAGCAGCAGGCTGTGTTGAGTTAGCAGGACTAGATTCTTCCTGATAACCCAAGTTGGACTTCCTCCTGGGTGTTTGATAGAAGATTTGATATGCCTTTTGGGTTTCGAGTGGAATGGGTATTCATGGACTGAAGATGTTCCAGGAATGGAGAAGTTACAGGAGAGCCTTCAGAGCAGGCAAATCTGTCTTTTCAGGCCTTAGCACCAAGGGTGAGGGAGACAGAGAGGTCCTGAGGGAGGCCATTCTCATCTGCCAGTAGCTTTAGCTATGGGGTAAGACAACCAGACCATGTGAGGAGCTTCTAGGCACGAGGATGCCCACAGCTCTGCAGCAACCTTTCCGCAGCCCAGAACCTTCTCACCATGGCCACGTACTGACAGTTGCCCACACCCCCTTCCCTGGGAGATGAGGTGCTGATGACTCCCAATAAGCTTACACAGGTGGCCAAGTTCTCTCCTTGAAGATAATCTGACGCAGAACTCATTGATTTAATGAGCCCCTCTGGGTCCTCAGACCTAAAGCAATTGTTGTGATCCAAGTCCCTTTGCTCTGTTACAACACACCACTGAGTTAAGTCCCTGCAGTGGGTTTGCATGAGTAACTGATTCTATGAATCAGTCATAATTCTAAGGACTGTATGTACCACGTGTGAAGGGGCCCCTTCTGTATTTGGTCGGTCCTGTCCCTTTGGAGCCTACTAGAGTGCCTCCCACATGGAGAGTGCTTAGCAAAAGTAAATGAATGACTAGGCAATTAGGGGGTCCTGTGCCAGGGGCCCTTCAAACCGCTGAGACTGAAGAGGGGTGTTTGGTCTTGGAATGGTGGCCGGCAGTGGTGGGAGGTGGCATGTGCATTGGAGTGGGCAACATGTCCTCTGCTATGGGAAGACCCCAGTGATGAGTTTTCTATTGTTGCTTCCTAGTGCATCACTGGCCCTGCAGAAAACTGCAAACCCTGGTCTGTGAGGGTCTGAAGAGACAGCCCCTGGAAGAGTCTGCTGATGCTATGCTGGATCATCCGTGGAGTGTGAAACATGTCTGCAGATCAGGTTCTATACATAACACGACAACATTGTGATTCATCAGGATGGTGTCTGGAGGAACGCGGATGCATTGGAAGATTCTGTGTTGTTTTCATGGGAAGATTTTGATCAAAAATATGATTTGTAAGCACAATGATAAGCATATTCAGAACTTTTAGGGCCATGTGGCTAATATGCAATTAGATTTTATGTCTGCTTTAATCATGTATGTATAATAGGTGTATGTGCTCTGTCCTATCACAGGACAGGCTGTATAAGCTCAGGTGCTGACAGTACCTTCCTTCAAAGAGGATGCCCCAAACCTCCAGAGGCTTCCAATCTCAATCAGAAAGGCTTTCCTTCAAACCAATGAACATCATATTATAACCACAGACACATAGTCAAATTTGCAATGGGACAGTGGGGCGAGATTCAAACCTCTAACCACCTTTGGGTCATTGAAGAGAATAAACAATGACACTAATTCAAGGTTGATCTAATCTTAGTAAGTGGCAGAAAGGAAATTTTTCTACACCATCAAAAGCCAACCAACCCAGTTATTGAGCACCTACAATGTGCTAGTTTTCTTTCTCTTCCTGTTTGTACAAAAAAAGAAATCAGATTTAAAAATCTTCATTTGAGGGGCTCCTAGTGGCTCAGTTGGTTAAGTATTCAATTCTTGATTTTGGCTGAGGTCATGATCTCACAGTTCCTGAGATCAAGCCCTATGTCAGGCTCTGTGCTGACAGTACACACATTGATTGGGATCCTCTCTCTCTGCATCTCCCGTGCAAGGATTCTCTCTCTTTCTCTCTCAAAATAAACTTTATAGAAAATTAAATATCTTCATTCAAAGCCAGAGTAATTTCCATTTAGAAATCAGGCTCCCAAAATCAAGGTCAGCCAGAAGAATCACAGTCAAGGAGCCTGGGTTCTCATTCCAGCAGTGACTCTATCTGTGTGACCTCAGTCTGTCACTTTTCTGTGCTTTATTTTACTGTAGAGTGAAAGAACTGAACTGGACTAATCTCCACTGCCTTCTCCTGCTCTGAAACTATAAATATATGACCTAAAAATTCCAGTTATATAAGGGATTTGCAGCTATCGGATGTGGCTCCAGCACAGTGATGTGATATCTGGGCTTAATGAACTCTCCTTATATTCTCCCAAGTTCCTGAGGTTGGTAAAGAGACAAGGAGAGGAGCAAACATCTCTCTAGTTGCTCCAACAGGTGATTTCATCGCTGTATGGTGCTGGGTGAAGATGTGACATTGTCATGTACCTTCACTGCTTCAAACACCCAACCTTCTCCCAGGTGGGCCCATGGCTGGGGCCAAGGAGGGAGAATAGTGTAAACCATGTAGTTGATCCCAGTGCTTATTGCCACTAATAAATGAAACAGTCAACTGGTTGGCATGTGAGAAATGCTTATGAATCATAATAATCTCACCAAATGCTAATATCTGTCATATCTTAGGCAGCCTTCATTTCTAGAGAGCACACTCACACATGTGCATGCACGCACACACACACTTCCTTACAAAATTCCTTTCCTCAGAATATTCTAGCTATGCCAGCCATGTTACAGCACAATTAAGAGTGAAGAACATTATACATTAAACTAATATTTACATGGAAATCCATGCAGGTTCATTTCGTTGACTATCTGGAGTGTTCTAGAACATTAGGATACTAGCCCAAGACTAAGAGGGGTCAGCTGTTATTAGTGAGGCTATAAGGGCTGAATAATGGCTGTGAATTCTCTCTGAGCTTGGGAACAGAGGCAAGGCAAAGTGGTTAAGAAAATCAAACAAGCAAGTCCTTTGTGCACTGTAAACCACTTATGCTGAGGTGTTGTCCTCAGACATCTGTCCTTGCCCCACTGTCCTAATCTGTAAACTGTCTGGAGTCTGGGAAGCAAGGGTGCTTGGTGTTCCTGGGATTGAGCAAGGGATGCAGCTGACAGTGCCTGCAGTATCCTATTGTGACCTGCAGAGGTCAGTGGAAGACTGGACATGACACCAAAGCCCCAGGGGCACCATCTGGGATTAGTTAGCAGGGAACTGACTGAGGATCTCAGAGTGGACCGAGTGTCTTCCGAGGTCCCTCCACGAGCTGGCCTTAAAGCTGACTTAGGGCTTCAGAATGGAAAAAACCTTCTCAAAAGAGCCTGTGGCAGTCTAGCTTTTGATGCTTTTGATGTGTGGCAGGTGGGGGGAAGGGGAAGGCAAGTCTTCTCTTCTGTGCATCTACAACTTGGCACATGCCACATTTTGTGCTTTACCTACAGGGTTTCCTTGAATCTTCCCAGGGGCCTTGAGAGGTATTCCCTGAATCTCTGAAGGAGAAGCCTCACCTGCAGCTACACAGAGGACTTTACAGTTGGGGGTGTTTAGTCCTGGAGAAACACTGCAGGCCGGACAGCCGGGCAGCCTGCTGTAGACTGGGAAGCCATCAGCCTGCGAGTGGAGTCGGGCTAAGCTGGCCCGCAGAGGCTGCCAGGACGCCCCTGAATGCTATCTATTCACCTGTAGGCGGTGTTGGGTTCTCATGTGGGCATGGCCAAGCTGCTGAACTGTTGTCCGAAGGCTGAGGGACGTCGTTCTACTCCAGAGGTGGGGTGGCTGGAAGGCCAGGATGGGGAGGACAGGATGGATGGAGATCACAGGAGGAACTCCGGGCAAAGGATGGGGACAGAAATAGTCCTAGCTCCTTGATTTATGACTGGGAACATCCCTGGGCCTTTGTTATTTTTATCTGCAGTTGAGAGGGGGCCTGGAAACCATTTGCTGCCTATTTTAGGTCCTGGGATAAGACTATTTGGAACATGCAGCTTCCTTGGCCCTCTGAGGCTTGACATCACCCTGTGGCTCCTGGGCCCCGGGGCCTGCCCTTTCATTTTGTCTCTATCCTGAATTGGAGGAGTACATGTTCCTAAGGCAGGAGACAGATCTTGTGACGATCTTGTGACCATCTTGTCACCTGGAACAAAGCAGCCCTTGGATGGACATGGAGCTATCAGCCTTTGCCCTTAAACTGGCCCAGCCTTGGTATGGAATGATTCCCCGACCAACTGAGCATCCTGGAGTGTGGGGACCATTGATTCAAGCTCTTTGTTTCCCACCTGAGAAACCTAAGCCCAGAGAGGGTAACCGACCTGAGTGATGTCCCTGGCCCTTTAGCCAGAAAAGCAGGCTTATGACAAGGGTGTCAGCTTCCTGGTCCAGACTCTTTAAATCGTACCTCTGCTCATCAGGTGAGCCTTCTCTTTTGCAGTTGGGTCAGATTGCCGGGGCATCTGATAGAAATCCAGTTATGCTGGTTGGGAAGAAGATATGGAAGGCTTGGGGCCCAAGACAAGTGCTGTGGCAAGGGGGCAGGAAGCTACAATGGGATTCTTTCTCAAGCCCCACTGACTGCAATACAACAGTAAGTGGGAAACATCCCCCTCATTCCAGAGTGAGATACTAAGTCACCTATGCAAGACTTGAAGAGGGGGTGTCTGGAAACTGGGCTACCTTTAGCTCATCACCTACTTCCAGGAAGTAAAGGGTTGAAATGGAATTTGAAAGATTGGAGAGAGAGGATTTCTCTGAAGATAGCAAGCTGTACATCCTCCCTGCCAAAGAGGAGAGAAGGGGGTGAGTGTGAGGGAGGGAGGGAGGGAGAGAGAGAGAGAGAGAGAATTACATGGGGGACTTTTCCTTAAACAGGCCATTGGAAGGGGAGATTCACGGGGACTACTCAAGGACCCAAACCATGACAGCTACTTGAGAAGCTGTAGTTGGGTGGGCCAGAAGCAGCAGAACAGCCACGGGAAGGGAGTGTCAGTGAGCCACACATTCTCCAGTGTTAAGGCAAGGATACCAGTGTGACCACCCTGGAAGTCACCCAGGAGGACTGCCTGGTCAGGCAATGTATCCCGACAGAGGATGGGATAATCTTTGTCCTGGGTTCAAAATGGCCCCAGGTGAGCTCTCTGCAGTGTGGCCCATGGGAAATATTCACACACCCTGGAGGGCCCACTGCCTTTCCCCGCTTCCCACCTAGGCTAGACCATGTACTGCCCTGGGGCAGTGGGGGGCTGCATGCCTGGGTCCACGCTGGGTTATGGAGGACTGAGCCTAACACATGCGGCCAGCCCCTCGGCTTCTCCCTCTTCTCTCTTGGGTGAGTCGCTGAGCTTCTCTGACCCCCCCCCCCCATTATCTCATACATGAAACTGGCACCTGCTCTGAGGCTGGGCTGTTGTGTGGAGTGAAGGGGAAGCAGGTGAGAAAGCACCTGGAGGGGTGCAGAGCTGTGTTTTCCGGGCCTCGACCTTTCCATTGAGGTGGCAGCCCGCTGGGGGAACACGAGTGAGCTTTCCAAAACACGGGTGCGAGGGGGGATGCAAGGAGTCAAACTCCTGACCATGACGAGGAATGGGGTGAGGGGAACCGGCAGCACGCAGTGGCTGTGGACTTAGGCCAAGTATTATATTAAGGTACAAATAATATGTCATTATATTGTGGCACAAATGACAAAAATAATTGATTAGCATGACTCAGCCTCTCACACAAATGTGATTTTCCTGGCGCAGTGGCCTAGGGAGAAGGCTGGCTCTCAGCTCCCCAGGACTCACTAAGTGCTGTGGATGAGAGTGAGGGAGGAGCACATCGGCACCTTGCAGGCTGTTATCAAAAGGCCACAAGGAGGGGTCACTTTTGTCACCTCTGCCCTTAGATCTTATCTGGTAATGACAAACCGACATGGCAATTTGCAAGGCACTTTACCTTTGATTAGTTAGTGGAACTCTTGAAGTAAACCTACAAGGTGTGTATTACAATGATACCCATTTTACAGCTGAGGAAGCACAGGCTCAGGGGAAGAAGGTGGTTGTGCGGCCAAGAGCACCAGCTGTGACAGTCACGGCTATGTTCCCATCGTGGGTCTCCCACGCAGCTGCTGTGTCATCTTCAGCAAATTGCTTACCTCTTTGCACACTTGTACTTTCCCATCTACTCTGGGGACAGCCTTCCTCCCCAGCCCTCACTCCCACCCTGTCCCCAGGGGCTGGGAGTGCCACCTCCCTCGGAGATGTGGCTGTGGCCCAGTCGGTGGTAATTGGTGGACTTGAGCTGATGCGGACACTGGCTTGCAGGGAGCTCAGCCCTCATTTCTTTAAATCTCACAGATTCTCTCCTTGCTCAGGACACATGCCCTGTGCTTCTTAATGGCCAGGCGCGGGGCTGAGCCCGGGCTTGTAGTGCAAAGAACATGGGCTGCAAATGATTCCTCTTCTCTTCTCGGGCAGCACCTGAGCTCTCTTCCCTTGGGCAAATTACCTTCTGAGCCTCAGTTTCCCCACCGAGAAAAAGAAGGTAGTAGAGACGGACTGTCAGTGTTTGTGCCACTCAACGAGACCACACTAGGGAAGCACCCAACATGGCAGTTGGCCCCACTGGGGGCTCCATCAACGTCAACCCCTTGCTGTGGCAAGATGTTCCCAGCCTCTGTACAAAGTGCTGTAAGTTTAGTGGCAACGTGTTCATGCTGTGCACTTGTACTAGACACCGTTGGAAATCCTCTTCACTGGGCTGTGACTTACCACTGCCTCCAGTGCTGGCTGCTGATGGCTCATATCTGCTGC